TGGCGCGGGGCGCCTCGGATGCAGATGCTTCTTCTGCAGCTGGCACGTCTGGAATCTTACGACCCAAGATGATCACAATGAGGAATGCTCAAGCTAGTCTTCGTCCGTAGTAGTCGTGCTGAATGCAGTCGCAGACGCAAATTTTCTTGAGACAAAAATTCACAAGAAAAGAAATCATGTTGCATACACGAGCGAATACACACAGTCTGATATGTCTTCATCAAAGAATGTGAGAACAAACTGCGGGTCCGGCAGGTTATTAAGGACCCACTCGGTTGTGCCTTGTGTTTCACAAGTGTACGGAAAGGTGGGTGTGTGTCAACCTGTCGGAGTGTTCCTGTCTCTATGCTTCTTACCAGTTCGTCTGGTTTGGCAGTGTGTTTGGTTAACGGTTAACGGATCAGCAAGACAGAATTCGCTCGCAACATGACTTAAATCATCTATGTTGCCAGTTGCCAGTGTTGCTCTCGTGTCTGAGCATCTGGATGAGGTGATGTGTTTCCTTTTGCTCTGGGAGATGTGTGGTTTGTGCAGTGGTGACCAAGTTGTTTGCATCAGTTCGTAGGTGAATAGGTAGAACCTGACCACTGACATCGGCCCAGAGAGCACGGAGAAAAAGACAAGTACCAAAACACTTCATCAAGGCTTGGAGTTCAGCGACCGTGGTTGACTGAGTAGTGGTGGTGATCTTGTGACTCTCATAGTCTATGATGGATCCACGTGTGGCGGAACTGTCTTTCTTCTCGGAATATCGAGAGTTGTATGGCTGTCTCTCTTCGGCTAGATAGATGACATGTGCACGCTGGCTGGACTTGTCACTATTATTACGATACGATGCATCTGGAAAGCCAAGGATGTGTCGCTGGCCTTTCAGTGGCCAGAATCGCGCATCAACATATTGGCTCTTCATCGCGCGGACGACTTGGTTGATCTCACGAACATCACCAATGGTCGGACTCGAAGCAGCGGACGCACATCTTGAGAACTTGTAACACAAATGAACTTGCGTCCGACTCTGCAACCAGTTAAGTTGGCCTAAGACAGAGCGATAAGCAGTATGCGTTTGAGGATTACAAGCAATGTTGTCTTTTAGATGTTTCGAACTTGATCTCCTCAACAGCATCTACAGCGAGCTTTTGGTCACAAGAAATGTACGGTCCATGCTTCTCATGAGTCTTCCATTTTATGCGCCGACCAACAAACATGATGTCATTCTTGTCTTCTGAGCCTACGTTGAAGTCCTTACGAATGCTAGCGAGCACCTTGTGTGCAAAGACCTTGTCTCCGGCCATGAACAAATCATCAACGTGAAGACAAATGAAACCGTGTGGCTTCCGGCCTTGTGCATTATTCTGTGCTACAGGATCTAGCAGCGTATCAAGGGCTTCTTGAACAGGATCAGTCGACGTAGACGTTCTTCGGAAAGACTTCTTGGACAGTGAAGAGTCCTTGGATGACATCTTGTCGCCGTACAGAGGTAGGTGAGTGGTGCGTCGTTAAGACCATATGCGGACTTCTTCATCTTTGCTCCTATGCGTCGTGGATATCCGCATTCTGTTGGGATCTGACATATGATGTCCCTAGTCTCATCATATGCTTCACCTTGCAGGAAAGCCGTCTTCAAGTCCATGTGATATAGATCCCATTGGCAATTGCTGCAAACTGGGTTGCGCAACGAAAACCAGAACGACTGGCTGCAGGACTGTCGGTTTGCTGGGTGTCCTTCTGTCTATCTTGGAAACCCTTGAGTACCCAGCGTGCCTTACACTTAAAGAAATTACCGTCCTTATCCTTCTTGATCGTAAGGACCCAGCGTCCGGCAACATAATTCCTAATTCTTTAACCTACGCATGTCGACAAGCTCGAAGACATCGTTGTCGAACCATGACTTGCGTTCATCTTGCTTTGCTTCTAGGACCTAGGAATTGTTTAGCGAACTGGCGCTTGTCTTGCTGGGTTGCTTCCTTGCGTTTCTTACCGACAAGATACGAAAACTTATCTTCCTTGGACTGGTGCAAGGTTAGGAAGGCTTTGTCTTCCTCCGGAATGCCGGAGTAGACTTCCTGAATGTCGGCATAGTTCCTTCGAATCAGCTGACGTTTCTTCTCTGCCATGTACGAAGACGGTGTTACGAAGTCAGCGTAGAACGGAATAGACTTAAGATCAACAGGTGAGCCATCAATGTATCTAGGTACTGTGAACGAACCAGTATTGCTGCAGAGCTTCTGTTCTGCTGACAGCCAACTCCAACTGCTCTCGCCCACGAACAGATCATTGTAATCGATGGTCTCATCTGATGCTGCGTCATCTTCTTCGTCTTCTTCTTCCACATAACTGCTACATCGCCCGGAGCATCGTCATCAACAATCGCTGCTTCCGGAGATTCAGGTGACACTGGTTGTGACACTGGCTGTTCATCGTCGTCTGCGATCGGCAAGTTGTGTCCGGATGGCTGAGCATCAGGATCACCGGCGTCCTCTTCGTCTTCAGGCGGTTCATCTTCAGGTTTTCTCTTCTTCGGTTTTGGTGTTTGGACGACCGGCGGCGAAAAGACGAGTCGATCATTACCCCCCAGATGGTTGCTCGGTGGAACCGATGGAGGTGAAGACGAGGCAGGCATCTGTACAGGTCGAGTAGGACGAGCTTTCGTCGAAGGGCGGTCAGAGACAGGAGAACCAAGGGGTCGTTTCTCAACTGAGGTCATCTGCTCATCAGGAATAGTAGGAGGAACGACAAGAGTTGGAACAACAGGAGTGTCTGGTTGAATGGGAGTCAAAGGTAGAAACGAAGCAGGAATTGGTGGAGCTGCAGTAGCAGGTGGAGACTGTGATGGTGGTTGTGGTCCTGGAAATGGTGGAAACGCATTGTCTGGCGGTACGGTGAATCTGGATTGTCGCCAGGCGTAAAGTGCCAGGTGTGAAAGGATCACCTGGAATGTCTCCAGGCATGTCCGGACCAGTCGGTGTCATGTACTCATCAGGGTCCAAACCAGGAGGTGGTGCAGGTGGTGCACCAGCAATGTCAGGTGTGACCGGTGTAGTGACAGGTGCGGACAGCGCGCGACCATCAGAGTTCCAGAAAAGAACACAGCTCCAATTTGGCTCCACCAACTTCGACAAGTCGTCAAAAGGATGTGACTGGATGTACAACTTAGTTGTATCCTTCTTACGCCATACAAACAATACACCTGCGGTTTGTGGGTACCTGACCTTCAGTGGTTCTAAAGTACCTCGGAGAACTGTGGCGTGCTCAAATGCCATGGTAGGTGCAAAAATCTGGCGCATATGTGAAACATCATGTGCAATATGCAATGACTCTGACCAAGGATTGTACTCATGTCCCGCAGGGAGTGAGTTGACTCTGTTCATAAGGCGTCGAACATAAAAGCCCTTCACAATCACACAATCAGATTCACTGAAGTGAACAAACTCTCGATCCGTGTTTTCCATCAGGAAGACCTGATCGAATACACCAAGTGAGGCCACAAAGACAAGACGCACACCTTTTCTATGGCAGCGAAGTGCAGGTATCGGGCTTCAAAGTCTTGCGCCAAATGAATTACAGCGAAAGCCTACTACGAAGAACAGGTGCTACACGTATAGCGTAGACACGCCCAGGGGGACCTAGGACCCTACGGCCCCCCCCCCCCCGCCTTTCAACTCCACCCTGGCACGGGTCTTTGTCAACAGCTACAAAACACTGTAAATAGCAGTGTTTTCAGCTCCTCCAGTCTGCAAGAGTGGCCTCAAACCACGCAATTTATAAACATGGTTTTCTGTGGCTGTCCGACCAAAAACCTCGTAAGAACCGATGGTTTTTGAAGTGTCTAGGCTTCAAAAATGGTCGAAACGTGGCCAAAAACCTGGAAAGATTTTGTCGGAAAGGGCTTTTTCGGCGTTTGGAGGCTTCTGAATGGCATTTACACGGGTTTGTGCGCCTTCCCGGCACAAAACCCTGTATATTGGGATGGTTTCAAGCTATGTACGCTTCAAAGTGGCCACAAAGCACCGTGAATACCATTAATACCAGTGTTTCCAGGGTTGCGCCAGATTCCCTGCTACCTTTCGTTCACCCCCTCCTCTCTCAAGTAGGAGTAGGAGTAGGAGTAGTAGTAGCAGTAGTAATAGTAGTAGTAACTGTAGTAGCAGTAGAAATTAGTAGTAGGTGTAGTAGTAAGTATTAAGTAGCAAGTAGTATATAAGTAGTACGTAGTTGTTAGTTCTTAGTTAGTAGTTAGTATACAGTTAGTAGGTAATAGTAGTTACAATAGTAGTAGTAGTAGTAGTAGCAGTAGGAGTAGGAGTAGGAGTAGTAGTAGGAGGAGGAGTTGGTGTAGTAGTAGTAGTAGTAGTAGTAGT